TGTAACTTTAAGTGCGTGAATTGAAAAAGTAATTGATAATCAAATTAATAGATGTGTGGATTGAGAAAATATATGCCTTAAGCTAATTAGGTGTGTGGAAATAGAATTTCTCAAAATATGAGGTCCAAAATAATTTATGGGGTACTAATAGCTGCACTCATTTAAAACTATACATTATTAATTCTCTCAGTATATATTATTAATAATTTAAATTTATATTTCAATAATATTTTTAAATGAAAACATTATTAAGAATAATGTGAAGTGTATTCTACCCTTCAAATATTTTATATATAAAAATACAAAACATTCTTCATACACCATCATCATCTATAGACATATAAACATTCAAAATAAAATATCCAAAATAAATTGATTTTGAAGATTTAGTTAATGTTTGGTTTAATTTTTAAATTAACTTTTGGAATGAAAAATCAAAAAATATGTTTGGTTTACCATTTTTTAAAAGAGAAAATTAGTGATAAATCCAATTTAGAGGGTGTCTAAGGTGTTCGGTCCAGTGTATTTTTTTTTATTGGCGAGAGGTCCACATTTTGTAAAATAATTTGGTGAGAGATCCTTTTACTTATTTTGAAGGACATTTTGTTTTTAATTTTATCCCTTAATTTATCTGTTGACTATTTTCATCTATTGACCTTTTTTTGACTATTTGTTCAAATTTTTTATCTATCTATTAAACTTATTTTTTATCTGTTCAAAATTTTCATCTATTTATTCAAATTCTGTGGGTTTCTCTCTTTATCTGTTCAAATCTATTCAAATTCAGTGAGTGTCTCTCTTTATTTGTTCAAATTTTGTAGGTTTCTCTTTATTCTTGTATGTTTATCTATTCAATTTTTTTTATTTCTTTTCTATCTATTGAAATATCAAACCAAACTAAATCTTATCTATTAAAAAATTTCTATCCGTTCAAATATTCCATCTCTTTATCTTGTCTCATTCTCGCTCATCTATTCAAAATCATCATCAATAACAACAAATCCTATATATTCATCAACAACAACATCATCACCAAATCTTATTTGTTCATCATCATCATTATTATCATCAACAACACACCCATACACCAGATCTAACACATATTCAGCAGATCTAACAGATAAGATTTTAGCGCATGGATCTATGACTATCTGTTCAAAACCAAAACATATATAGTGTTTGTTTGGAGCTTCTATGGTTGTTCCACTTCAATCAAAGAGTACACTTTTTGTTCCAAAAATTGCAAAAGATCTGAGTTTGAAAAGAAAGAGATTTGGAGAGTAAGAGAGATCTAAGGAGAAAGAGAGAGAAAGAGAAAGAGAGAGAGAGAGATTTGTGGTGATAGTAGTGGCAGCGGCACAAAGTAGACGGCGAAGGAGCACAATCTCCATGAGCGACCGAAGTTCTGCTATGTTTAAGTCCAGGTCCTTCAATACTTAGTTTGAAGCTTGAAAGCGGCAACGAGGCCAATGACTTCAGCTCAAATCTGAGATCATCAATGGCTTAGCTACGGCGGAGAGCGGTGGATCTAATGGGTCAGATCTGGCGGCAAAGATGTCAGAGTAGCGGCGATGGAGGAGGAGATCGAAGACAACAGAGAGCGATGCGAGGCAGTGGGCGGCGAGATCGGACATTAGAGATATGAGAAGAGAGAGAGAGTTTTGATTGTTATGGATTGTGTTTGTGTATATATATATATATATGATATTTTGGTCATTTTTCTTGAGATTGTCCTTTTAAACAAATTATTTTTCTGCCTGAATCTTTAACCAAACAAAATTGTAATTTAGACTTTTGGATCCAGTGCCTTTTTAAAAATTATTTTCAAAATTGTTTTTTCTCTTCTCTCTCTCTCTCTCTATGTACACATCAATCAATCACTTTTTTCTCTATTATCTCTCATCTTTTATTCTCTCACATTCTACACATCAATCATTTAATTTTTCTCTCACACTCATCTATTTAACTACAAAAAAAGGGTTTTCGATCCAAAAGTCTAATTTTGAATTTTCTTTGGTCAAAGATTCACACTCTAAATTACTTTGTTCATAAGGACAAACCATAAAAAATGACCAAACTACCCCAAGGTATATATATTATACATGGTTAAAAATCATCAAAACACTCTTCATCTCTCTCTCTATATATATATACTATTTTCCTCTCTCTCTCTCTATATATATATATATATTCTATTTTCCTCTCTCTCTCTCTTTTTCTTTTTATATGTTTTTCTTTATTTATTTATTTTTTCTACACTATCTCTCTTTATAGAAACTCTTTCTCCTCAATAGTTCATTGGTAGGGTTATTGATAACCACCAATGCATAATCCAATCCCATTGTCAAATAAATTTTCCAAACCTCATCAACAATTCAACACACACACACACATATATATATACACACACACATAAATTCCCCCATTGTTAGAGTAAATTATGGGACTTTTTGAGTCTTTGAGTTGATCAATTACAATCCTAGCTATAGCTAGAGGAGAAAAGAGAGAGAGAATGCGTAGTGATCTATGGTTGCTGAATTATGTTTAAAAAATTGTGGCTGCAAAAGAAATGAAGAAAAGCCAAGGGTAAATTAGTCATTTTATTATCAGTTTTAACATTGTTTGAGCCAAAGTTAACGGGAGCCACTATTTACACACCAATTTTCATTTCAAGGCACACCATTAATTAATATTTTTTTTTATTACCATTTTAACCTAAAATAAAATTACCACAAAGGACAAAGGTTATAATATGCACCATTTGTATAATTACCACAAAGGACAATACTGAATATAATACACATCTTTATTCTTAAACGTTATGTACATATTTTGTCTGTCCAGAATCCAAAAACCATAAAACAAAACCCAAAACACTTGAAAGAAGCAATAAAAAATATACATATTATTGAAGATTTTGATTGGATTGAATGATGGATGCATCTGGCAACACTGATTTCGAACAATGGAGCAAGGAAAATGTTATTTTTTCATTTTTTTCCCCCGTTTTTGTGTACTTGCTGGGGATAAACCATTTGTATTAGTTCGGTTATCCAGAGTCAAATATTATTCTTCTATTCGACTATCCACAACTGTACACATTGGTTTTGTTCGATCTATTAATGTCGAACTTGATTCAATTTTTTGGTTTCTATGTGTCGAATACAAGCTACATGTTCGGCTATCAATAGTCGAACATATGTGATTTGTTCGACTCTGTACTGCCAAATGAGAACTCATCAACTGCTTTACTCTGTGTTAAGCACCACCGATGACGTCTTCACCACTGCTTTACTCTGAACATAACAATGGTCTTCACCTGTTTAAACAGAGAATGGAGGGGGGAGATGGAAGAACGTGGGTGTGTGTAGGGGGTGTGAGTGAGGGTAAATTTTGGAGGTCCCCGCCTTGTTTTGCCTTCCCTTTCCCTTTTTTTTTTTTTTTTTTTTTTTTGGTAGAAAATTCAAATAAGTTTTTGGTGTGCTTTAGTTTTGTTTTCTTCATGCACAAAGAAAACACAACCAAAATACCCAACACTCCAAGACAAAGGATTAACCAAACAAATTTTCTAAAAGACAAAGGGGTTCTGATATTTTTATTTTATTTTATTTCTAGTTGGTATGTAAACTTCTATTACATTATAATATTCAAGCCATCCATTAGATTATAACATTCAGACCTCTATTCCCTAAAAAATTAAATTTTATGTAAAATCAGGTCATCCATTACATTATAATATTCTCCTACAATTAGGATTTTGTGTGGTTGTGATTTTAGTTGGTAAATGGTTTTTGTTTGTGTGGTCGTGATTAATTGAAGAGAAGAAAGAAGGAAATTATACCTTCGATGGTAGATGAAAAAGTCTACATCTTGTCTTAGTACTGTAATGTCGGTTCGGCTCTAAAGTGTTTAATTTCCACCAAAACGAATTTCAGCAGCACTTTGTAAGAAAATATATACATATATATATATATATATATATATATGTATATATGTGAAACAGAGGAGACGGAATTTTAGTAGCACCAAACGAATTTCCACCAAAAGCAATGTCCCATGCAGCACTCTGTAAGAAATGGAATGGATTCGAGTCGGTGCGGAGGAGATGAAACAAATTGGGTGGGTGTGTAATTGATCGTCAAAATATTATGAATATGAATAGATTTGATAATAAATTGGGGTGTCCAAAAAAAATACTACTAAAATTTAAGATTTAGGGTTCCAAAGAAATAGAGGTCCAAAAAATTTTGACAAGTGCAACACTCTTGAAAAAATAAATAAATAAATAAATAAAAATCATTCACTTTTCCCTTTTTTGCCTTCAACAAATCCAGGTTCGAAACACAAGCAGGATTTTATTTATTTTTTTATTTTTATTTTTTTGGGATCAGAAGCGCAAGCAACATCTACCACCTTTCTTGCAAAGAGCTCTACAGAACCAATTATTCCAAAATAACAATGCTAGATAGCTCAAAATTTTGTGACTCAAATGGCTCAAATGGCTCAAAACGACGTCGTTTTGAATGTAAATGAGTGTAAAACGACATCGTTTTGACGAACCATTTGAACCACAAAATTTTGAGCTACTAAACATTTTCCATTCCAAAATTCACACACAGAACAATGGCCTCAAGAACCAGTATAAGGAAATTACCCTTGGATATAATCTTTAAAAGGGAAGTCTCAGACAAGCCTTCTGAGATGGGCACATCCAAATACATGGACCTAAAGAAGGATTCCCTTCCAACTTGTCAACCACGGATGCTGTGAAGGCGGTGGAATGTGAGTGTTGTGGCATATCCGAGGACTGCACCAGAGCCTACATTTGGTGTTCAAGGATTCGATTCTATGGTGGGTATGTAGCCTCTGCTGATAAAGAGTCACAAGACCAGTTAGTGCTATCCTAAGGTAAACTGGGTACAAACACAAGACCGGTAAGGCTGAGAAAGATCAGATACACATACTCGAACACTTCACCACCATGGTTCTATCTCTGCTCATGATCTAATCTGATAAAACATTTACTAATAGAGTTCCAACGCATATTTCACAACAGAGCAAGATCTCATTTCTGTGACTATTGTGTAAGTTTGTACAATGCTGATATGGGAGGAAGAAAAAAGGGAAGGAAATATGGGCTCAGAAAAAATGTAGTGAAATACTACAGTACAAATATATTTTGAAGGCATTAACAACAACATTTCCAATGCAAAACCGCCTTATTTACAAGTACCCAAGAATTTTAATCAAACACGTATCTCTGAGTTGCAGACAGGCTCTTCCGTGAATCCCTCACGAACATCTCCTCGGCAGAGTGGGCACACCCTGAGAAAGACCAGCGGAGAAACAAAAGAAAGAAATATGCACTGTCAAAAATAACTTCTTTTTTTTTTTTTTTTCAAAAAACAAAAACCAAAGGAAAAAGTTTATGGAAGTATAGATTATGGTACCCATGTATCTCCTTCAGCCATTTATCAACACACGACATGTGAAACTCGTGGTGGCAAGGAAGAACCCGTATTTTATCCCCTTCTTCATACTCACTCAAGCATATGTAACACCTGTAATATGAAATTGTTAAATCCTAACTAGATAAAATAGAAGGCTAACATAAACAGCTGATTTTGAATTTGACCAATGAGGACAATATTAACATATGTTCAAAAAAGTGGAAGGAGTGGCAGTGTCACTGATGATATAGGATGGCCGGACAGAGAACACAATAATAAAGAAACAAACAAAACAAGAAAAATAAATTAAAACCCTAGTTCTCAAAATAAAAAATTCTCAATTCAATTCAATCAAGTTGCATAATCCTCCTGACATAATGGTCTATTTATAGGTACACAAAAAATGCTAATTAAGTGTTTCTAAAATAAAAACTTCCTAATTACATACTAAATAAAATAATAAAATCTCTTAAATTATAGGGCAAAATTCATTTTACCCCCTTGGAAAGTTCAAATATGACCAGATACCTCCCTTGTGGTTTGGACTAAAGTGCAATGGTTAAGTTTTCCATCCAAATTAACTAATTTGAGACCCACATGCCAGTATCAAGAATTAAACCCAAGGAAATTTTAAAAAGTCATTTTTTTATGCAAAAAGACACCATTGTCCTTGACTTCATATACTTCCTCCAACCCTAACTCAATCATCATTAAACCTACCTCCCACAACACTACCACACCCAACAACCAGATTTCTCAACCCGCCAACCCCACCACCTCTTTACTCCAAATTAACAGAACAAAATAGTTTACTTGGTACACTGCAAGAACATTACTTTCTTACATCCACAATAACACTATGGGGGTGTTTGGGATGCAAGTTTGGGGTGGGCTAAAATAGCCAATAAAGACACACACACACACAAAAAAAAAAAAGACTAAAATAGTCAATAAGACAAAATGTCACATCCAAACCATAATCATTTTATTTTTTCTCTCACAACCATCAAAAAAATAAATAAATAAATAATTATATAGGGAAAAAAAAAAAGAAAAAAAGCCAACTATCGTTCCAAACAAAACTTTTTTACCCAGGCTAAAAAAGTAGCCGAAAAGTCAACTAAAATAGCCAAGTTTCCAAACGAGCCCTATATATATATATAAAGACACATTTGGACCCTAATAAGCTCAACCCCAAATTTGGTGTTTAGCATTCCTCAAATTGAGTTTTGGAAATTGGGTCAATGGGAGTTGGGTAGGCAGAGGCTCATACAAGACAGTGAGTCTGTCAGTCAACAAATCAGACAGGTTTTCATCATGAAGTCCATTGATCGGAGCTTGGGTTCGACACTTAACCACCCCCACCTGTTTCTCCTCCATTGTTGTGTGAATTATGTATTTGTATATAAATGTATAGAAGTATATGTATGTAAATATATATTATTTAATATGCTACTAAATATGAAATCAAGTTTAAAGGCTATAAAAAATTTTAAAAACTTAATTAGTAAAAATAAATTTGGTTCTTAATTAGGTTTAAAAATAAGGGTAAATTACAAATATACCCCCTGAGATTTGTCTAAAATACAAATTCTTCCCTCTAATGAGAAATTACAAACACCCCCTTGTCAAAGTTTGACTTTAAATAATTACCTTCCAATACCTAAAGAAAATAATCCTACTACCCACATCTTCTTCATCTTCACTCTCTTCTTCTTTTTCCCTCTCCTTTTTTCTTCATTTTTTTTCTATTCTTCCTCATTGGAACCAATACAATCGCCACTCCTCCCCTCTTCCACTCTTCCACCGTGACAACCATTACCTCCACCAACTCCCCAAATTGTTCCCCTACCCCTCCACTGCTTCCTCACTGCCTCCCCACCTCTTTCACCCCTCCACCGCTACCTCATCACCTCCCCCTCCATTTTTTCCATTATTTATTTATTTTATTTGTTTTTTCACTCAAGGAAAAGAGCATTGACAGTTAAATATGTATTTTAATAAATAAAATTATTGACATTAGCAAAGTTAATTAATTGACCTAACAGTTGACTAACAGAATGGAGTATTTGTCATGTGATTTGAAACCCAAGGGGCAAAATGTAATTTCTTAAGCCAGAGGGGTGAATTTGTATTTTAGACAAATCTCAGGAGATGTATTTGTAATTAACCCTAAAAATTAATATAAATAAATAAATTTAATTTTTTTATTGTAAAGAATAGTATTTGAAAGACAAAGAAGGATATAGATGTCTTTTTGTCATTGACACTACTAGAGTTAGTGTTGCAATTTGGTCCAAAACCATATATATCCCTATATTTAAACCATAAGGGGATAGTGTTTCAGCTCTTAACCACAATGGGGTAAATTTTTCCCTAAATTATAAGTAAGAAAATAACAATAAAAGTCATCATCCGATTCCTTTCCTGTCCGCATCAGTCACAGTAAGCTGCACATTATTAAATACTAAAGAACTAATTCAGAACCAACCCAACATACATTTCAAGCATCCAAGAACAATCAGTTATTTGAATCTAATAATTCATTAATCCTAATATGTATATATAGCTTTCCAGGAAGTGGAGTGCGAAGAGAAACTTACTGTACAACATCATCTGCACTCTCAGATACATCGGAATTTTTATGATGCTTAACAGGAAGAGTGTCAACGACTGCCTCAGGAGCTGGGAGGGAGACCACAGATAACGAAAGTGACATGGGTTGCCGATGAATTTCATCCAGTACCTGCAGATCAAACATTATAACAAAGCAAAGCAACATATACTGCAAAGATAAAACATAATACCCCAGTTCCCCAACTATAAAGAACAATTTTCTCTCTAGAAGGTTATTTCGAATACAAGTTCTCCTTCGGCCTTAAATCTAGGGCGTCATTAATTATTTTGAATATAGTTACAACTTACAACAGGATAAAAATGTTAATGGTTGACATGTAGAGCCCAATAAATTAAACATAACAAAAATACATGTGCACAATAACATAGGGGATCATGGGAGAAAATAATTCAATGTATTGAACTTGCAACTTATCTACGAGTATTTAATCTGAGCAGGTCGATCTCTTTTATTCCTCATTTGACAAAAGACCATAATAGACAAATCGCTCATAGAACATCAGGACCATTAGATGATTCATTCCTAGCAACTCACCTAACCGGCACTCCAAACATCTCAAGTGACAAGTCATGGATCAAATTTGACTTCAAGCCAATTTCTCCCTTCAATACAAATCTTGTTACTTATTACAAGCTTAATTCATCAAGCACTGGGAAAATTTTCAACAAAGCACCTTGTCTCTCGTACTAGGACTTAAACTAGGGCTTAAAAGAATAAATTAGAAGTAACATGTATCATCAAACATTAATGGTTGCTCCTGAAACATTGATGGTGTCATCAAACATTAATGTTTGCTCCAAAAACTCTGTTAAGTTTGCAAGATTATGCTTCTATGCATCCTTCAAACATTAATGGTTGCTCCGTGTGAAGGGAGGCTTGTCCGCTCAAAGAACTGAACTGGATTTTCACAGGAACTCATTGACAAAGGTTGGATGGCTTAGATGTATGAAGATACAAACTCTAGTGTTACAGATGGTTAAATGGCTTATATAAGGAGCTTCATCAAGAATGGGATTATTATCCACTTTGGACCACTATTGCTATCTATCTTTGGCTCCTTTTAAGTATTTTTTTTCTCATTCCATCTTATATAAGAGCACCCATGCCAAGCCAAACCATGTTCTGTGACTTCATCAGCCATACTAGATTGTTGGACTGTAAATTGGTTAGTTTTTGCATTAATTTTAGGGAAAATTGACAATTTTTGTATCTAGAAAATTTAGGTCAACTCGTATCATAGGTAGTACTAATCCGAACCAAACAAATCAATTCATGTGTACTTCTATGTTCGCCACCTCCCCCAACCATTTGAAGGTGCAGATTTGGTTGGCTGATAAAGTCTCTTTTCGGTGGTACCAAAAATCTAGAAACAAAATACCATCCTTGTACAGCCCATCACCATTGGACCAAAAAACAAAAGGTCCTACTTTCTCCCCTTTTAAGGATCCACAAGTCTCCTCATTGCTTTGAGTAGGACCAATTAGTCCGTCCTTTAGGGACATATGCTACTACCCTCTTGTTGCCTTGTGAGGCTGCCATAGAGATATGGAATTTGATTCTATCCATCCATTAAGTGTACCGCATTATGGCCAGCTCAATTCAATATTTGCTGGGTTGCAGAACAATTGGTGTATTCAAAAGAAAATCAAGCAAAGCTTAGACTGCTGCCCTCTTTGCCTCACATAACAAAGAAATTTAGGCTGCTTTTTCGGAGATTGAGATGTAAGTTCATACATTGAGATCCATCATGCTAAATTCGTTCAACTTTTGGTTGCAGGAAGATTTATCGATTCTTCAATGTTTCAATATTCGAAACATCAATATTGCCATTTTCTTTTAGCGTAGCTGTGTAATACGACATTTAGTTCTTACACAAAAACGAAGAAATGCAATTTAACCATATTTTGACTATATATCTACCCCAAAAAATAAATAAATAAATAAAAATAAGAATAAAAAATGATTATATTTGTGGCGCCATATGGATGATACAATTTTAGAAATTTTATATTGTTTGGTTCAATTTTCTTGAATGCATATATTCTTTCGAAATTATATACGGGTAACTACCATTTTAACGACCAATTCAAGAAATTTCTTTTCTGTCATCATTTTCTCTTTTCCTAAATAATCAAATTCACAGTTCCCAATTCTTTCCTTTTTGTCTTTCTTTTTTTCCCCATTCTTTTGGACAAATGCAGTCCAAAATCAAATTAGCATTAAATTGTGACTGAATTTTTGAAAATCCATTACAAGATCCTATCCAAAACTCGGCTGTTGAGAAATCTAGAAAGAATTACCAATGACTACTGATTTTACACCCAACTACGGGAAATCAACTCAAAAAAATAAAGTTCGTAAAATCTAGGAAATTAGATTAAAAATGTTATAAATAATGTCTTCTTAATTAAATGATAAAGTCAGTATTCAAATTATTTCATATAACTAAATGAATAATTGCTCTTGGGGCTAAATATTGAGAAAAATATATTGCAACCTCAAAGCTTAAAAAATGTTGAAATTAAATAGAAATTTTTTTTTTTTTTTTTCCCCTACTATTGAAAGAGTAGACGGAATTGTACTTAAGGAGTCATGATGTAAATGCTTATTACCAAAACAAGAAAGTCTATTTATTTAGAAAAATTATAATATGACAACTCAAGAACTTATTTTCTTTTTTTCTTTTGCAATTTGTATTTGGAAATTAATAAAGAAGTTCCTACTTTTGCTGAAATATTATTCAAAAAATCATCATTTAGAAAACCATGTCTATGTAAGTTACTGCCAACATTGTAATTATAAATCAAGACGACACAACTAGAAGTCTAATAAATTATTTACTAATTTGCAGAAGTAGGACTTAATGGTCTTATATATTGACAATTCTCAGAATTTATTTATTTTTTGATAAGTACAATCTAATTGGTCCTTAAAAGGAAACAGTAAGAGTTATGCATTTTCCGACCCAAAAAAAAAACCCATTAACTAAAAATTAAATAAATAAAACACAAAACAAATAAACAGGTTTAACATAAGCATGTGAATGCTAACTGCTAAGCAATTTGTGAGAGGAAGAGTAGCCAATAGAAATCTACAATATAATTGACATGGGCTAGATAAGAAAACATGTTTTCATTTTGAGGAACTTTACATGAGTCTTCACAAAGCACAACCATATAAAATGCTTACACAACTACCAGACTCTTTGCCAGCAACCAAAAGAACAATTAACATTAATGAACACGAATTGAAATACCTGATTCGAGGCATTTAAAAAGACGAAAAAAAATTATTTTACGAAGTAAAATCCGCCAAGCCCAGTGCAAGGAACAAGTTTCAACAGTTGGATATTGTACACATAAACACCAAAAGATGCAATAATATAAGTCATGCCTCACAAATGATGAAGCAAATAATCAAATCTTACCAGGGAGAGTAGCCACATGGAAAATAAAGCATGACAGCTGATCAAGGGGAGTTACCTCAAATAATGCTTCTGCTAGCATCACTATTCGTGAAATACTTGCACGAGTGCCAGATTCCTCAGGCATTGAGGTTGATTCACATGAGCATGTGCCATCAGCATGAAGCCCTGATGGACATCTACTACTTCGAGGATTACCCCTTTCATGGCCACTATGAAGTCTTTCCCAGACCTGCAAAAAGTTCCGCAGCTAGCACTTGGTAAAATTTCCGCAGTGGCCATGAAAAATAAATAAATAAATAAATACACGTGTGCATATAGCTTCTACTATTTAACCATAAAAGCCAAACAGACAAACCAATAATGTCAAGAAAATCTAATTCTATTCTTATTATTGGATTCAGAAATAACATAAATGAACATATTGAGTGCCAGTAAAAAAACTCCTACAGTCCAACAAATGTTGATCTATTCTACAGTACACAGACCTCTAAGAAGTAAAACCCAACATCCAAGAAGTTATGTACAATAAAATAATGTCTACAATTGGTTATGACATACATGCTGGTTTTGTCAAGAAAATAAAGACACAGCACGTAGAGATACTCTAGAAATGTCAAAAAGATACATATTGGCCAGCAGAACACACAATTACTCCTGAAGTGTTCAAAATAGATGAACATTAATAAAAAGGTATTTGAAAGATCACCTCAGATCTTGAATGCCGACGCCGTTCATTCATGCTGTGAATTCTGTTTCCCATGTACCCAGAATCACCTCCAGCCCCATCATCAAAGAAATCACCACTAAAATCAAGAAGCCATCTGTCATGAAATCCTAGGCCATCAGTATCATCAGTTGAGAAAACAAATGTTGGGGAATCATTATGCCTTCTAGAACTGCGTCTTGAAAAGGCATCCCAGAACAGTCTTCTACTATTTCGTCTTGCTTCGCGATTACTTATTTCAGTGGCGCTGTTGGACAAATTGCTGGAAGAGATACTCACCACATCAACATGAAGAACACTTCCACTTCTCTGGATCCGTTCCCTATCTGACACAAGGAAGCCAAGACCTTGAGGTGTGGTCTCTCGAACACTATCATCTCTTAGGGACTGAGAAATTACTTGTGAATCAGAAACAACAGAAGCAGAATCAGAAACAGAATTCCGGATAGATATCCCTTCACTTGCATGATTTTCAACAGAAACTTCATCCGAGTGAGAATCTCCAAGCTGTTGAGGGGATGAATCACTTGGATGTATAACCTCTTTACAAATCTGAGATTCGTTCTTGTCCATCACATTTCCAATACCATTAACAACATCCAAATTGGACATTAAATTTGCAGAAACTGAGCCTGAAAAAGACTGACCGTCATAAGAAGTACTAGCTGTACCATCTTCAGAACAAGATTCCTCACTGGCTACAACACTGCTTTCAGATGAGGCTCCAGTTTCAGTTTCAGTTCTCGGGCTGACTAACCCACCAGAGGCTACAGAAGATTCCTTTGTCAGGCTTTGCAACTCATCAACTACTGGCTCCCTCCTGTGTTTCTTAGAATTCAACAGTAATTTAGAAGGTTCATCTTCCATCTTGCAAAACAAGTTCAGTATATCAGTTCCTGTGACAAACTTCGTGAGTGTGACTTTTAATGTTACTATTTAGTAATACTAAAGAATTATGTCACAAAGAGAAGATTAGGAGGGAGGGAAGCTTTTGGAACTGGTCAAGAGTACAAAACAAATAAACATCACTTGGAGTTAAAAACAAAAAAATTTGCCACTTATCCCTTGTTCAAAAAGTGACTACTAAGTTGGGGTTCTCAAATTGATTCCTGGTAAACTAGAACTCCTGAAATTTGGTTGTTTATCATCTTCAGTTTTTTTTTTTTTTCTTTTTTTTTTTTTAGAATTTAGAACAACTGAAAAGGGAAAATAAGAAAAAAGTTGGTTCACACCTATGAAGCAAAATGTTTGTCAGAGAAGAAGCTGTGCGCCATTAAAAATAAGCCATCTTCACACACCAGCAAGTACTTCTAATCCTCATATTGAACAAGCAGTTTGGGCCTCTAATTATGTTGAAACCTAAAACTGCTTGTTGTGATGCTATGACATATGTATTACTTCTCCATGGACTCAATCAGCGAGCACCATAGTTGCACGAAGCGGGAGTGGGGCAAGGAGAGAGAGGGATGGGGTGGAATGGAGCAGAGACTGGGACAGGACTGAAGAGAAAGCGTGAGTGAGGACGAGTGGGGACAGGGACGGGAGCAAGCACAAGGACAAGGACAGAATTGAGGTTGATTCACAGGAAGCGAGACCCATATACAAGAGTATTAAGGTTGGAAAGGGAACAGGAGTGGGGACTAATTTCCAGAACGATGAGTGAGGCCCTCATAGGAGTTTCCTACTACTAAGGCCAGCATGGAAGGGAGCAAACTAAATGGCTGAGATAGTAATGCATAACCAATATGTTTTAACTATGGCAACTCCACAACCAAAGGCAAAATTACAACCAAAATTATGAACAATGTTGATAAAGCGAATGGAATAAGATTGCTTAGATATTTAATAAGCATATTTAATGCTTTTACAACTATTGTGTGCAGGTGGTGTCCTCGTACCCGTACCAACTTTTGGGAACATATCCCAATACTCTAAGATTTATGTTTAGGTAGGACCTATGTTACCAGAAAACGCTAATACCCCGCGAATTACGTATTGGTACGCACGTTCCAAAACATGATACACTTCTGTTCCAAAACGGTAAATTCAGTGATCCAAAGTGATCCTAAAATGTTACCTTAGGAGGAAAAAAATCAAATATAATGAACTAAAATCTAAGGTTTGACTCATAGAAAATCAAATATATTAAGTTTTGATGAGACAAAAATAAAAAAAATGGGCCATAATACTCATAAAAAATATTACATTTTATTGAATGTCTAATAATCTAAAAAAAAATTACTCTAGAAATATCTTAAATTCTTAAGTATAATATATACAAATCTACCACTATCGTACTACATTTTAGAGCATGTGGCATACCACATTCCCGTTCCCGTTCCACGTTCCAGATAACATAGGGTAGGGCTACAAACAAACTGAATTGTTCATAAATAGCATGAGCTCGGTTCGTTTACTAAATGAACGAGCTCGAGTTTGACTTTTAGGCTCACTTAGGCCTCGTTTGGGAACAAGCCTTTTTAGTAACTTTTTAACTTTTTAGCTAAAATATGATGTAAAAGAAACTAGTATGTTTGGGATAACTTTTTGGCTTTTTATGAAAAGATGTGCAAAAAATAGAGAGAAAAGGGAATCTTTGACTTTTTGGTATAGGTTGTTGGCTTTTTGACTTTTTTTGTAACTTTTTGACTTTTTAGCTAAACCGGTCGCTTTCCAAACGAGGCCTTAGTATTCGAGCAAAGCTCAAGTAGACCCAAGCTCTACTCAACAAGGCTCACGAACACACAAAAAAAAAAATGAATTAATATTTATTTTAATAATAAATCAAGTAACTTTTATTAATTTAGTTTATTTTTCTAACTGTATTTGGTGTTTGTATAAATTTACATATTTGATTGAAGTAATTTATTATTAATATAAACAATATTTTATTTTTGTTAATAATGCTCTCTTTTTCTCTTAATATGCAAATTAATTGAAGTTTGAAATTTTTTTCTTTTTAATCTCAAGCTTAATTATGTGATCAAGTTGACTCAACCCGAGCTCGATTTGTTAAGCTTGACCTTACTCATCTCAAGTTTGAGTTCAACTAATTCTCAACAAATCAAGCTCGAACACCCAAAAGCTCGGCTTGGCTTGTTTCATTTGCAGCCCTATGTTTAGGAATGCTTGACAATTAGACATGCATTGGCACTCACACCAGTACCCAATACTTGTACCTAATACAGAAAAGATCACAGTACCCCGTATTGCATGCATCATTGCATTTCTTTGATGCCTTGCCCTTCCTCAAGCTTTTCTCCTATTCCAGGTCTCAAATCTGATATTCCATTGAGGAAAAAAGCACGAAGGGCAATATCCATGAATCATAAAATGCCTATACAAATATATAAATAAAAGTAACCTTCTCTTGTTCATTATTATACCAAAATTCCATTGAACCCAACAAAAATGCAAAACAATCAAATTCCAGTTTCTGCCCCAGCGGCATTGCTACAGATAGAATAAGCAAAATAATTAATTGGAAAGATGTTCAAGACCTTTTTTATAAGTGAAAAGATATCAGGACCTGCTGATGTAGGACGAATAGAGACAGCGGCAAATTAGTTCTTTTGGGGCTGAATTTAAATGGGTTTGACAATCAAAATGGCAATAAGAGGATAGAGTTTTGAACAGTTTGTAAGGGGTAATAAAGGGGTGAGAGTTTAAGCATGAAAAAAGATGAGATTTTGACATTGTTTAAGGACTGTGAACAGTGTTTGGGCTGTGAAAGTGCAGAAAATACAAGAGGGAAAGAAAGGAGAAGAAGATAGCTTTTGGGAACCCCTCTTAGAATCCCTTAGGCATCACACCTAGAGTTTCATTGCATCACATAACCCATAAGAAAGCTTCAAAGCTCTTGAAATTTACTAAAATATAAACTCTATTAAATTAGAAGCGTTACATGGCTTTATATAGACTTTAGAGACTTCCTATTCCAACATTTTATAGACTTTAGAGACTTCAGAGACTTCGTATTCCAACCAGAACCAAAATAGAAAACTACTAAAAATACATTGGACTTCCAAAACCAATTTAAGACCAAATGAAAAACATAAATAAAAATCAATTAAATGACTTGACCCACAAGACAACTCATGGGCGACCCCTACAACCCATTCCAGCAAATATAAAATTACCAAAATACCCTCGATCTAAAAATCTTAGAAAACATAAAAATAATCATAAAATAAAAATCCAATAATGCTAGAATATAATTATGTATGGTTCCTTACTATAAATTTTCTTTGAAATCATGTCAATTTCCAAATATCATCACTTCTTTGAATTTGCTCTTCCTTAAGCTTCTTATACTCTGCATCACCTACAGCTAGACAACTCCTATTTCGTCATAGGGTGCCTTTCCATTTGTATATGTTATTAATCAAGAGTCTCACTTCTAAACCACTGAAGAATGTATGACCGCAAATAATAGAAGATTAGATAGTTTCTGTGAAGCACAAACACCTCTCTGGAGGTCATGTACAAGTGTCCGACAGGCTCCGGACACGTGTCGGATACTCTGGAAATAGTCGGACACATGCTAGGAACATGTTGCAAACATGCTAGGACACGCTGTGGACACATTAAGGACAAGCTAAGGATTATTTTTTTCAAAAAAAATTAAAATTCTAAATTCTTTTACTAAAATAGCATACCTAAGGTTAATGAATTTGATAAAATTAAATATTTGACATAAAATACATATTAAATATTTAAAAATATGACATAATAAATATATAAAATTATACATTTTACATGTGTCACCAACGTGTCGTGTCCTGAAGTTTTTAAAAATCTGCGTGTTTGCGTGTCTGTGTCGTGTTCGTGTCATGTCGTGTCGTGTCACGTGTCCGTATCCATGTCCATGTCCATGCTTCTTAGGATAGTTTTGAGGCTAATCTACAGCAGCCTATTTGCAAAGCAAATGGAAAACCAACACCCAAATTCCACGAAATAAAGAATTGATTTGAATGTTCTCCACACACAATAACACAAATTTCCATACCATTTCTTTTCAAAACCTCCACTAGCAACAACCATTTCAACTTTTCAAAGAAGATCCACTTTTATCATAAACCCATAAAAATATTAGTAACAGTAGTTCACATCCTTGCATCACACATGTAACTTGAACTCCAAATGTTTATTGAAGGTTTATCCACTAGCGGAATACATCACCATTAATCAAAAAAATTAATATTTGGATGTTAACACGCACATTTAAAATTCAATGTTTTCCAATGCCTCAACTCCACATGTTAAATGTCATTTAAAAGTATTTAACATCTACGTTGTATAGAAATTGCACCAAAAAAGGGTTCTTACAATGTTTACTAAACTATAACAGAAGTCGTCCAAGTTTTTGTTTCTTAAAAGCTTCTTAGTTATAATCAGATTCCATTTCTCCAATTTACAAATCCTAGTTACGCCAATTTACAAACTGAAGGCATATGAATCCAATTACTTACAACCACATCACTACAAAAAGGATTCTCCGTCAAACACCAAAGCAACAGTAATACATGCTTCGAAGTTCCTTACTCGCATGTTCGTGTTAAAACAAGGATTGGAAGAGCTTTGAGAACATAAGTGCATGACAGTTTCTGAACTCTTCCAACGTAGAACAAGTGGAATAATACCCTACGGCCTGTGAGTTGATAATTTCAAGCTGCTCCCCTTCATTCAAGACAGGACTGGTTTGGTTAAGGTGTCAAGTCACAGGTCAAAGTCAGTAGGAATGGACCAACCCAAGCAAAGGTTAGGGAGTCATCCCAAAGTTGAAAGATTCGTCGCACCTAAGTCGAAAAGGTGCAATTCGAGAGACATAATTTTGGACAATTTTAATTGGTTACCAAGATTTTTAT